CCCAGCCCAGCCCAGCCCAGCCCAGCCCAGCCCAGCCCAGCCCAGCCCAGCCCAGCCCAGCCCAGGGAAGGGGAGCGGAGCAGGCAGGGCAAGGCAGGGCAGGGCAGGGCAGGGCAGGGCAGGGCAGGGCAGCGCAGGGCAGGGCAGGGCAGGGCAGGGCAGGGCAGGGCAGGGCAGGGCAGGGCAGGGCAGGGCAGGGCAGGGCAGGGCAGGGCAGGGCAGGGCCCAGCCCAGCCCAGCCCAGCCCAGCCCCAGCCCACCAAACTCAAAACATGGTTCGAAAAAAAACGTTTCGCACAAAACTTTCGCACAAAACGTTTCGCACAAAACGTTATTGGCACCGAAACCCTTGACAATTTCTATAAACCCTAAACCCTACACCCAAACCCCCAGAAAACTCACTATATCGGTTGCTAGAGCCCCTGATGGCCCTGAAAGGTAGGTACCTGGAGGGTGAGGGTTATCGACCTCGGTTCGATAGCCTCGAACCGTACACCCTGAGCCACTCGACTGCTCTAAACTACTCAGCCTCAAGGTTTTGTTCTCCGGTTTAGGGTTTAGGGTTTAGGGTTTAGGGCTTAGGGTTTAGGGTTTAGGGTTTAGGGTTCAGGGTTTTCTGTTTTAGATTTATGATGGGGTTTTGGGTTTTGGGTTTAGGGTGTATATAGGGGTTAGGGTTTAGGGTTTATAGGGGTTTTAGGCTTATCGGCCATCCCGGGGTTTACCCCAAACCCTAAATCCTAAACCCAAAACTTTAAACCCAAAACTCTAAACCCAAAACCCCAAACCCTAAAGCCTAAACCCGAAAATCCTAAACCTAAACCCCAAACCCCAAACCCTAAACCCTATAAGCCCTCTAAACCCTCTAAACCCTATAAACTCTATAAACCCTATAAGCCCTATAAGCCCTACAAGCCCTATAAGCCCTACAAGCGCTATAAGCCCTATAAACCAGAAAAGCCCTAAACCGGACATGCCAGGCCAAGAAGAAAGCCCGGCAAAAGGCCAAGGCTTCCAAAGAGGCCACGAAAGAGGCCCCGGTGTGGGGCCTTCGACGGGCCCTAGGTTCAGGGCTTTGGGTTTCAAGTTTAGGGTTCAGGGTTTAGGGCTTAGGGTTACAGGTTTAGGGTTTAGGGTTTAGGGTTTTATGTTTAGGGTTTCAGGTTTAGGGTTTCAGGTTTAGGGTTCAGGGTTTAGGGTTTCAGGTCTAGGGTTCAGGGCTTAGGGTATCAGGTTTAGGGTTTAGGGTTTAGGGTATCAGGTTTAGGGTTTAGGGTTTTGGGTTTCAGGTTTACGGTTTCGGGTTTAACCCTGAACCCACGGCCCCGAAAGCCCTATATGGGAGTTTCCAAAAACTTAGGGGTACCTTATTTTGGGGTCCTTCTAATAAGGGTCCTACTACTTAGGGTACTATATTAGGGTCCCCTATTTTCGGAAATTCCTATATAAAACCAAAGCCTTGAGACCCAAAGCCCAAAGCCCTGCAACCCTAAACATCCCTAACCCAACCTTAAACTACCAGAACCTACTTGTTTGTAGGCTCTTTGTATAGATTCTAATATGGATTCTATAGGGACACTACTACAAAAAAGATTTTGGTAGGCTAACGAAAGCCCGAAACCACCCTAACCCTAAACCCTAAACCCTGCGCGACGGAAACCTGGCGCCAGACCCGAGTGCTCTTGGCGGCCGAGGCCTCCAAACGGCAGGGGTCAGGTCCTTTTCTGCCCGAGGGTTTAGGGTTTAGGGTTTATAGGGCTTATAGGGTCTAGGGTTTAGGGCTTAGGGTTTAGGGTTTAGGGTTTAGGGTTTATAGGGTATATAGGGCTAATAGGGTCTAGGGTTTAGGGCTTAAGGCTTGTAGGGCTTTTAGGTCACAGGACTGGTCCAGGAAGAGGATGGGAAATCAGGTGCGGCGACGATTTTGACTGAGGCCTGGCAGGTGCTAGGCAGCTTGCGGAAAAACTTCCTTCTGGCAGAGCCCGGAGTGGGTGGGCGACCAGGGTTTAGGGTTTAGGGTTTAGGCTACCACTGCCCGAGGGTACACTGGTCAGCTGCTCTCCCTAAGCTGCGACGCGAAGGGTGCCACGAACCGGATCACCAAGGCCTTTCTGGCAGCCGGGGCGACGAGGCGGCCGACCGGCCTGCTCCACGAGAGGACCGCGCAAAGCCTTAAACCCTGAAGCCAAAGTAACCCGAAGCCTTAAACCCAAAGCCATAAAGCAGAAACCCTAAGCCCTTGCGGGTTTGGGGTAGCTCGTGTGACAAGGATCCTAACATTTGGGGTCTATCGTTGGCTTCCCTCTGTGTCTAGCACTTTCACATGGGTTGAGTCGGGTTGAGGGTTTCTTTTTAAGGGAGTGGGGCCCAACCCTCCCAGCCAATAACCCAAGCCCGCAAACCCCATACCTGAACCCTACACAAGACCTGTAAGCCCCGCACTCTTGACTCTTCAACCGTACAGCCCAAAACCTAAACCTTTTCCCCTAAACCGAAACAACGCCTGAATCCCCATAGCCATAGTCTACTGCTCACACAGAGCCTACCCGCAGACTCGAAAGCCCTGTGCTCCTTGATCAAGGTTTTTTTTTGGTGAAACTCTAAACCCTGAGTTCTAAACCCTAAAAAAACCCTAAATCCTAGGTGAAACTCTAAGCCCTGACTTCTAAGCTCTGTAGGAATCTACAGAATCCCAAACCACAAAGGCTAAACTCAAAAGGAGTCCAAAACCCTTCTGAAGTCTACAGGAATCCTAAAACTTTGTAAACAAAAATGGAATCCTAAGCCCTGAACGCAAAACGTTGCACAACTTTAAAAGAATCCTAAAACCCTTAACCCCACGCCTAAACCCTAAACCCTAAACCCTAAACCCTAAACCCTAAACTCTAAACCCTAAACCCTAAACCCCACGCCTTCTGTAAAGGCATGGCAGGCTCCCGCTCCACCGGTGGAGGCGAGCGCAGCATTCTCGGGGCTCCTGCTGGATGTCAGGGTTGGAAGATAGTTTAGGGTTGAGGGACTATTACAAGGTTTTCGCGCTTTTGGATGGGGTTGTTGGGACTGTTCGATTTGGGCTTGGTGTCTTTTTGTCGACTTTGCGAGGTGTTTCAAGGGTGGTTCGGAGTTGTTGATAGGGTTTAGAGGATTTGGTGGGACTTTTGGTGCAGTTTTTTTTTGGTTTTAGGGGTTTTTGGTATAGGCTCTAAACCCTAAGCCCTAGGGAATAGGGTTAAGATTTATGCAAGGCCGGGGGGTTCCGGTCTGGAGGTTTTCGGTCGAGGAGTTTGGGGATGTAGGGTCATTTAGGGTTTCATTATTGTGTTACTATAATTACTATAGTGATGTATTATTGTTGTTATGCTTATTTAGATAACAAGAGCCGGTTTGGGGGTTTGAAGCTTTAGGCGCGCTTTCTTCGCTTTTGTGGCTGTCGGTGTTTCGCAGTGGCTGGGAACTATTTCGAACTTTTCAGATTGCGAGGCGACTATGGCGACAGTGCTTGTGTAGCGCTTTTCGGGAGCTCTGTGGGGTTTTGAGAGTTGAAGTTTGGCTACATCGTGATCCTACATCCTAAACCCGAAAGACTCGCTGATGACTGATTTTTCTTGCTTAACTCCAACAAGTCATATAGAAGCCTGAAGAAGTACCAACACTATTTCTGAGGGTTCCTGATGATAACTAATTATATACCTTAAGAACCCAAAACCCACTTTTTTGTAGGTTCTTATAAATAAACCTAATATAGGATTTATAGGGACCCTACAAAAAGTAGGTCTTGGGTTCTTAAGGTAGTATAGGAACCCCCGAAGCCCTATCCTGATCATCAGGGCCTGTACACTAATTGTGTAAAATCCCAGATCGCCATGAACCTTCAAAGCGACCAAACGCATAAACCCGAACAAAAAAACCCAAGCCCAGGAACGTCCAGAAACCATGCACCCTCATCTCTAAACCAGAACCCACAAACTAAACCCTAAATACAGAGATGGGAACAATTCGCAAGACTGTCCCCGTATAGTCCTCATATAGTCATGGTATATAGTGCAAACTAAAACTCTATTGGAATTGCGACACCCTCATCCGCATGTATCAGGTCTACCAACTACATACACTGCTTTAGATCAGGCTCCGAAACTCTGGGCCGTCCTCAAAACCCAAATGGTCTAGGATTTAGGGTTTAACCCGAAATCTAAAGGTCTACTGCTAAAGCCAGCACGTCGTGGACGGCCTGTGTTTGGTCTGTGACATCCATCCCGTGTTTCACCTATACATATCCGCCGACACTGCACATCAACGACGGCTTACAGATTGTATTCGTCCCAGCGGCATTCTTTTGCACGAAGCCACAGACCCTAAACCCTACATCCTAAACCCTAAACCCTAAACCCTAAACCCTAAACCCTAAACCCTAGACGGAGTTGTGGGGAGGTTAATTCGGAAATTCAAAGGGCAGTGTAACAGGTTCCCTCGGCGACTAGATCGAGCCTCTCTGGACGCAAAAAAAGCGAGACTGGGCGGCGCCTGACAAGGTGGTACTATAGGGGCCTTAATAATAACCTATACTATTTTTGGGGTTCCTTCTTACAATTATAAGATAATGGGTCCCAAAACCCTATTCTAATCATTAAGGCCCCAATAGTATTGACTGCCACCACTGCCGAAGGTGCGGCTGGGGGCGACTCGCAGATGGATGCTGGAAGAGTTTGAGGGAGGGCGAAGTTGAGAGCCTGCGTGCCCGGGACGTACAATGAAAGTCACCCTAAACCCTAAACCCTAAACCCTAAACCCTAAACCCTAAACCCTAAACCCTAAACCCTAAACCGGTCACTTCAACGAAAGAAAGTTTTGAAGAAGCCCAAACTCCAAAACCCCGACATATCATGAACCCCCGTCTCCACCATTTTCAACCCCTAAAGACGAGTATCTTTAACAAGCCCGTACTTTAAAGTCATCCTTAGTGCAAGGACCCCCATGCGGAAGCCCCCAACGCCATTATCCTCATAGCGGCCCATGAAATTCTAGGATCCTGAAGACCCTGACCATAAAACCCTAAACCCTAAACCCTAAACCCTAAACCCTAAACCCTAAACACACCCCTAAATTATTCAGGGTTCATAAGAAGGGTTGGGGAGTTTGGGGCTCCTGTCCACTGGAACCTGGACCCTAAACCTAGGCCCTAATTCTAACAATCTGAACCCTAAACCTACGCCCTGAATCTAAAGTCCAAATCCCTAAACGGTAAACCACAAACCCTAAGCCCCAAGCCCATTTTGTAAACCCTAAACCCGAACCCCATACCTAGAGGCCCAGGGGACTTAGTACGTAGGTTGTCAGTAGAGTTATACGTACCCTAAGTGGAGTTATCCCAATTATCACCCTACTTATATAACCTACTTACGAAGTCCCCAACCCTAAACCCTAAACCCTAAACCCTAAACCCTAAACCCTAAACCCTAAACCCTAAACCCAAATTCCTAAACTGTAACCTCCTTACTAAGTCCCCTGGGCCTCTAAGTATCCCAAGAGCCCTGAAGATCCCTGCAGCCCTTCGAGCGCAGGCATCGCCTGTGCCTCCGCCGCCGCCGGCACCGACAGAAGGGGGAGATGCGCCGCCTTCACAAGAGGAGACCACTAGGAGGGTCGGTTTAGGGTTAGGTAGGGTTTAGGGTTTAGGTAGGGTTTAGGGTTTAGGTAGGGTTTAGCGAGTTCTTTTATAGACTTCCAAGTACCCATGAAATTAGAACTCTACCCTAAACCCTGAACTTAAACCCTAAGCCCAAAGTTAGTGGGAACCTATAAGAGGAGACCGTGGAGCCTCCAGTGTTCTTTCACTTGCAGAAGGGTTTGGGGTTTGGGGGGTTAGGAGTTTAGGGTCGAGGGATTAGGGTTAGGGTTTGGGTTTGGGGTTTAGGGTTGAGGGATTAGGGTTTTCGGGTTTGGGTTTGGGGTTTAGGTTGTTTGCAGTTGAGGCTACAGGGTTGATGGGGTTAGGATCTACATAGGGTTCAGGGTTGAGGTTGAGGGTGTCGGGTTAAGTGTGGATTAGGGTTTAGGGGGCCTTTATAATCTTAACAGGATTCCTTCAACTGCTACCCTTTCTCTATGAGGTTTCCAGAAAAGGTAAGATTATTTAGGGTTTAGGGTTTAGGGTTTAGGGTGTTATGCATGGGCCTTAGCAAGTAGATTGAGGTTTTGGGGGTATACTGTACCGTAGTTGCAATAAGGAGGCTTCAGGAGGAGCGTTAACTACCACAGTAGTAGCCAAGAAGATTCCCTTAACATTACGGAAGCCATTTTGTCCGAACCCTGCTTAAACCCTAAACTTGGTTTAGGGCTTAAGGTTTAGGGTTTAGGGTTAAACCTTAAGGCCTGCATCCTGGGCCTTACATCCTAATGAACCCGAGAGCTTACATCCTAAACCGTGTTTCGGGTGGCTGGGGCATGGGACAATAAGAATATGCTCGGTTTTTTCCGGGAAAGCTCAACGCATGTTCGTATCGACTTGTAGAAATGTGTTGCTTATTGGGGCGTCGGACGATAAGAGTCTACTTACTTTTCTTATTCGGGCGAGAGATCTCCAATGCCCACGAAGACATCGCCAATGCCCACGCAGGCACGAAGTTCGCTGCGCACTAAGAAATCGCACAACGCCCCGCGAATTTTCGCGAGTGCCCACGACATATTCGAAAGGGATGTGTAAGGCTTAGGGTCCTAAACCCTAAGCCCGAAAGCCTAAACCCTAAACCCCACACCCTAAACCGTAACCCCCACACCCTAAACCCTGAACCCTAAACCCTAAACCCTTAAAGTTTCGGGAGCCTGAAGCCTCCACTCGAAACCCTCCCGACCTAGAAGCCTGAACCCTGGACCCTAAACCCGAAACCCTATACCCAGATCTTTCAGCCCCAAACCCCGAACCCTAAACCCTAAACCCCTGAATCCTAAGCCCGAAACCCTAAACCCTAAACCCTAAAGCCTAAACCTAGAAGCCAATATCCAGAACACCTTAGAACCTTTCAGGATCCGCCTTCTGCAGCGAAGGAGAGAGCTCGAGCCCAATGGTTAGGGCTTGGGCTTTAGGGTGTAGGGTGTAGGGTTTAGGGTTTAGGGTTTAGGGTTTAGGGTTTAGGGTTTAGGGTTTAGGGTTTAGGGGTTCCAGTTTAGGGCTTGAGGGTTTTGGGCGGAGGGGGTCCCCACAAATTCTATGCTAAGGTTGATCTGACTCAAGGGCGCGGCAAACAAGTGCATTCTAGCTTGATTCGCGTTGTAAGGGCCTAGGCTTTTGAGGGTTTAGGGTTTAGGGTTTAGGGCTGGAGGGTTACAGGGTTTTTAGGGTTGAGGGTTCCCAGGTGAAAGCAAACACTTTCGCCCTGGTTTAGGGTTTAGGGTTTAGGGTTTAGGGCTGTCAACTGCAAACTGTACAACCTCTGCCCTGTGCTCAGAAGCCCAATACGCTGCAACGATGGTTTGAGGCGCAGGGTTTATAGGTTTATAGGGGTTACCCTAACCCCAAAGAACCGGCCTCTTTAGGGTTCCTGATTATGATCTCTTTATATAAGTCCTTAAAAAGGTAGGTTATTTGGGGTGCAAGGAGGGGTTTGGGTTTAGGGGTGTCTTGGTTTAGGTTTTAGGGACCCTAAACCCTAAACCCTAAACCCTAAACCGGGGTTTAGCATAGTCCCCCACTCTCTTCCTCCCGACGCAAGTAAGTCTTGGTGGCCTCCTCCGCAGGAAACAGTTCAGGGTTTGGGGTTTAGGGTTTAGGGTTCACGCCGGAGTAGCAAGTACTCCGCTAACTTGCGCAGGCACTCCGCTACGCCGCAAGAGTCTGTATGCTAGATACTACTACCTGTAGATCGGCTCTAGCCCAAAGCCCTAAACCCCTAAACCCCCAATCGCAAAAAAAAAACAAGAACACCCTCACAAATCCCCGGTGGAAACCCTTAAAGGTACCTTCAAAGTGCATTCGAAGCCAAAGTCCCCTCCAAAGCTGCAATTTGAAGGCGCCGATGCCTTTGGACATCGATGCCATCCAGGATCCAAGGGGCTCCACTGGTGGGATAAACTCTAAAGCCTAAAGCCTAAACCCTAAGACCCCAAACCCTAAACCCTAAAACCCCAAACCCTCAACCCTAAACATGAAACCCTAGAGCCTAAACCCTAAAGCTAGGTGGGATGATCCCCAAGTAGTAGGAGCCCTGGTATCGGGGATCCTTCATCCTACGGTTGATGATCTAAATCCTGCCTTCCCCATGATAAGGAATGTACCATAATTCCCATAGTTTAGGGTCCCTAAGGTAATACCCATACGAAGGAATATACCAGAATTCCCAAAGTTTTGGGTCCTTAAGGTAGTGCAGGGTTTATACCCTAAACCCTAAACCCTAAACCCTAAACCCTAAACCCTAAACCCTAAACCCTAAACCCTAAACCCTAAACTCAACAGTACCTACCTTCATCTCACCTTTGGAGGCC